GACAAGGTGATTGAGGTGGTGCAGGAGATGGTGGTTTTTTGTTGTTGTTTTGTTGTTGTTGTTTTTTTGTTTGTTTGTTTTTTTTTTGGGGGGGGGGGGGGGTTGGAAAGAGGAGTATCAACTCAGCACTGACATTTTACAACAGGTTGTTGTGGCTTTTGTCGTTGCTGTTACAGTTGCTGTCGATCGTGGTGGTTATGGTGGTGGTGAGGGAGATAGTTTGTGAGGGGGGGGGAGGGAATAGTTGTAGTTTTTGTTTTAGTAGACTGACGCGTTGCCCGTTTGTTTCGGTTTGGTTTTGGAAACACACACAAACACACACACACACACACACACACACACACACACACACACACACACACACACACACACGTGCGAGAGAACATACATAAATACACACATTTGCACACAGGGGGAAATAGGGGGTGGGGGGACAATTAAAAAAATATTTTTGATATCTTTGAGGCCTTGTAATTGCGTTGTGGGGGGTGGGTTAGTTTTGTTGTTGTTGTTGTTGCTTTTATCACATTTAGTTCATTTTATTTTCGCTTCCTTCGGTTGGCATGAGCTTTGTTTTTCTCTTTTTGCTGGAAAGAGAAAGGAAGTAAAATAGTACTAGTTTTCCGTGAGTCGTTACTTCAACACGTGTCTTCAAGAGTGCATTCCATAAGTGAGTACTTGTAATTTGAAGCTTCCCTCACTCTATAATTATTTTTACCCACATGTTCCTTGCTGTGGTTACGCTCTCGGTCTTGCACGGTACAAGAGGAGAACTCAACTCTTTTATAAGAAAAAAGATTATTTCATCTCGTCACTTTTTTTTCTTTCGGGGCGTGTCCCTAAAAGATCAAGGAGCCCGCTTCATGTATGACCAAAATAGTGTCATTGAGCTCACAGCGCATGTCATTACTTTTTTTTCCTTACTTTATTGGGGAATTATGGGTACCATCCTTGTGTCCATCGGAGGATCGGTTCGGTTCGGTTAGTTTCAATTTCTGGAGGCCTCAAAGCACAATAAACAGACCAACTGCCAAAACGGGTTGCCGAGACTGGGCCTTGGAAACAAACGTGTTTCTTATTGATGGTCATCATTGGTTTTGTCGGTTTCGTTGGTTTTGCGACAGAACCGACAAAATCAAACCAAACCGAACCGATTATGACAATGATGGGCTAGACCTATACCGTCCACATTTTCCATTTAGGTAAAAATTTGCAGTACAGATAATATGCATTTCGAATTTGGTTTCACTTCTTTTTCATTATATTATTTTTGAAGTGATTAGACATCTTCAAATATGGTGTAGCGTTTAGATGATTCGCCTTCGTAAGCAGAAGATATGAGTTCAATCCCTGTGAGTGGAGGGTTTTTTTTCCTCTACTGTACTTCGTCTGTCTACTGGAACGTTATATCACTCCCAGCCAGAAGGTGGCCCTGACATGCACGATCAAAGCCCATCTCCTAAATGATCTCAAATGTATCGATGGTGACACTTATGATTATAATTACACCCCCACAGAGGGCATGAGCTACGGATGTGATTTCGAAAACTCCGATAACTGCGGCTGGAACCACGACGCTACGGATGAGTTTGACTGGGCTCGAACCAGCGGCGGTACACCCACAGCGAACACAGGACCCCAGGCCGACCACACCACCAACAGCTCGACTGGTTAGTTATTGTTGTTGTTGTTGTTGTTGTTGATGATGATAATGATGATATTGTTGTCCTGTGTCCTTGCTGCTTTTGTTATGTTATTGTTGTCAATGATGTTATAGGTATTTTTGTGGCGTTACTGTTGTTATTGTTGTTGTTGTTGTTATTGCTGTTGTTGCTACTGTAGTTGCTGTCTTTGTGAGAGGCTCTACTTAAATTTCTTTAACTGCTGTTGTGGTGTTGATATTGTTTTCGTTGTTGTTTCCGTTTCTGTTGTGTTTTTGTCGATGCATTTTCTAATGCTGTTCTTTTTGGTTCTGTTGTGTTGTAGATGTTGTTTTTAGTGTTACAGTTGTTGCTTTTTCTGGGCTGTCGTTGTTGTTCTTGTTGCCGTTGTGGTTGCGTTCTTATGTTGTTGTTCTTGTTGTTGCTTTTGTTGTTGTTAATCCTGTACAATGTATTATGCTCTGTATGTCTTACTTTTTTCCAAGAATGAAATGACCACTATATGTCGATGTGCTTCTCTTTACTCAAATTATCATACTTTGTTAATTCCAGGTCACTATTTGTTCGTGGAATCGTCCGCCCCGCAAGAGGCTGGCCACAAGGCCCGGCTTGTCTCCCCTCCCTACAATGGGGACAAAGTTACCGGCCTTTGTTTGGAGTTTTACTATCATATGTTTGGGCCAGATGCTTTCGGCGGTGAGTTGGGTTATGTTGTTGTTTCTTTTCTTCGGCTTTGGGTGTGCTTGTTTGTTTGTTTTTCTGCCTCATTTATAAACATTTTAAAGCTGCTTTTCTTTTATTCGATTGGTAGAGAGAGAAAAACAGAGAGAGAGAGAGATAGAGAGAGTGAGAGAGAAACAGACAGACAGACAGGCAGACAGACAGACAGACAGACAGACAGACAGACAGACAGACAGACATACAGACATACATACATACATACATACATACATACATACATACT